CTTTCCCCGCCGCTCTTATGGCTGCTGCCTCCTCCTACATTTTGACATTAAACGAGTTAAGTGCTGTGATTCTACCACACCCAAAAGACTGCAACTTTTCCTTCGCCTACATAACCCAAAAATGCCTCACGCGCCATTGGCAACATCTCAAGAAATTCTATCAATAATAATGTGATTCTGAGATCTCTGTCTAACATCCTTATGCACGTTTATACAGACAATCGAACCAAATCATCCCGATATCAACATCATTTCACTAGGATATAGATAAATCCGGCTAGAGTTTAACAGGACAAGCATTGCAATACCATATCAGTCACCAGAGAAACAGGAACCCATTTAAGATCAAGCAGGAAAGTTCTCAACTTCAGAAAGACCAGAGAAACCAGCACAACAGGAGTGTCCGACACAAACACCAAACTAGATATGATACTGGAACATACCTTGGAGATGGGTTTCCTCTTCTTGTCGAGCTTCTCCTTCTTTGCCTTAACCCTCTCAGCTTCGGCCAACAGAGACATCCTCCTCGCGGTCTTGGCGTACGGGTTGAGCTTGAGCATCACGTTCAGGTTCTTCAGCGGGTTTTTCTTCAGAACAGCCCTCTTCGCCTCCTTCTTGATCGGCTTAACCACGCTCTGCACCTCGTCCGAGTTGATGATCCTAGCAAGATCGGCGTTCACCATCTTCGGACGCGGTAAAACGTACCCCTTTTTCTTCTCAGACGGCTTGTCAAATGAGCCGTAGATCGACTCGAGCTTCTCGAAAGCAGATTTCGTCCAGATCACGAACCTGCCCAAGTGTCCACCAGGAGCAAGCTTGAGCAAGTTCAGCCTCTCCACATTGCACACATCAACACCAGGAATGTTCCTAAAGGCCTTCACGAGCTTAGAACCCTCAGTTCCGTACACAATCAAAGGACCTTTGCGGGAGATGTAGCGGCGATTCCTCATTTTACCTTTACCAGGACGGATCCCGAGACTGTCCTTCGCCTTCTCAGCGTCGGCAAATGCACCGATCTGCTTCAACACCTTGATCGCAGCTGAGGTCTTCTCCACAGCTTCGACGGAGTCACTGACAACCAACGGCATCTCTGGAACACTCTCGATCCTGTGCCGGGGAGCCATAACCAGAGACGGAATCGCAGTGGCTGCGATGGCCGAGACAATAGCGTACCTCTTCATGTTGACATTGACGCGACGGTGCCATCGGCGCCAGATCTTCGTCGGAGCGAACATCCGACCACCTCGGCACATGTTCCCGAAGGCTCCCTGACCGGCGCGGTGAGTTCCACCGCCGGGAACACGAGGGATACGCGACACAGCGCGTCCAGTGCCCCAAGACTCGGCGGAGGTCTGGTGACCGGCGCGCTTGGAGACAGCGTAGGGCTGACGACTGTTGTTGGAGATTTGGGCGTGGACGAAGTTGACGACGTCGGGGCGAACCGGAGCCTTCATGACGTCGGGGAGGGGTACGGTGGCGACCTGGTCAGTGTTCATGTCACCGTCGACATGTTGGACGGTGACGGAGGGACGCGCGGCTGCTACGGCGGCGACCATTTCCGAAGAGACTGAGATTCTACCTAGCTAGGGTTTTTTTTTGCTATCAGATTGAAGCAGGGAGGCTTAAGGGAAATTTATAGAAACGTACCTAGGGTTTTCGATTCATTAAAATCAGGCCAAGTCCACTAAAATTAGTTTAAGCCCACATATCTATATTGGGCCCTTATTTCCCAAATGTTTACGATTCTAGTTGATGTTTTGCTTTCAGCTTTAATTTGCCATCAATTGAAAGTTTTATTTAATTTCAAATGGGTGGGAAATTAGCGTATAAGTGAAAGAAGTGACTGACGATTGTGTGTGAGTCAAGATATAATTAATTGTTTATATTTCAAAATTACTCTTTCCGTGTAACAGAAAAACCCAATGAATGCGGAAACTACAAAATCAATCCATGTTGTGGCTCCACCCAGGGTGTAAAACAGGCGGGTCCGGCCCAGCCCAGTTTGGACCGTCCCGATCTGGAAAAATTTCAGCTCAATCCAGTCCAGCCCGTTTTTTAGCAAGCCAAAAATAGATTAATCCAACCCAGATCGTTTTAACTCGCGAACCAAACGAACCGACCCGCAAACCAAATATAGAAATTTTAAAAATAAAATTTTAATACTAAAAAATATTTAAAAATAATTTTAATATTTAAAATAATTTTTAAAGATCTAAAATATAATAAAAAATTAAAATTTTAAACAAAATAAACCAAATATGTAATAAAAATAAAATTTGTATATATAAAAATATATAAAAATTTAAAATTTTAAAAAATTAAATATTTTTTCTAGCTCGGACCGGCTCAGATTGTGACGGGTTGGCTCGCTACGAGCCCGGCTCGTGACGGACCGGCTCGTGGGCTCATTTTACATCCCTGCCTCCACCCAACTTCAGACATGAAACTAAAACCAAAGAAGTGGAATGGACAAACTCCAATGGAGTTCAATCTCTCCCTCTCTTGCGGATTATTGGTTCTCCCTCTCTTTTATTCCTGGTTACAAATGCTTTGGTTACATTTATAACCCAAAAAAATGATCAGATAACAAACATTACAAGAACCAAAATAAATACAGAACCAACAAAAAAGAAGAGTTTTCTTTTTGTACACGAATTTCAGCCTCCTTCTAACTCTTTCCTCTACCTATGTATCTCTTTCTTTTCCTAACTCCTGGCTGAAACTGCATGTTTCCTACGCTTTCCAATGTTCAGTAACATTCTCTTCCACCGCAAACCTTACACAGCCCACACCAAATTCCACATGTAAGATGGCGTTTTCAAAAACCACATCATAATCTCTATGATACCTACTCTATGATACCTAGATTATCAAACATTTGTTCCGCTTTCTGTTCAATATCACCCGAACCCACAGCCACTTATTGTTCGAGTATACACTACACTGCATAGTAGCACCAGAAAACCACATATTCTCACGCACACTTAGACAAGCGGAATTAGAAAATCTTACACACACACCAGGGCGCGAGATCTAGTCCCCAGTGGCCGAGGGGGAAATGCTTGTCCCGACCATTTAGGCCAACACTCAAGGAACGCGCACACATTTAATTCAGTGACTATGGTGAAGGATTCTAACGTTAAGGCAAAAGGAAAAAGAACATACTTGTGAGCATGAAGTCCTCAAGATGACACATGGCTTGTCTTGACCAGGGATTCTGAGCTACCAGCTACCAGCTTGGTGTTCATGTCATATGACGAGAGGACCTTCCTCTGCAGCATCAAAGGAGATCAACTGTCTCAGGTTAGATATCATCGATTGCAGGGACAGTACACCAACTCGGTAGTTATACATCTATGGCAGGCATTGAGGGTTAATTACTAGAACTACAAAAAAGCAATAACACTCTCTACTAAGTATTGCAACTGACTGACTCACTATTCCTTCCAAATTCATGCCTTAGTTATTACTGTGATCATATTCACAAAAGGGTTCCCAGTGAAACAGTTCCGTACCAAAGTCCAAGCATGAAGTCATCCTTAGCTTAGTGTTCGAATATATGCGGTATTCAGATCTCTAGGGTAAAAATAGCTCTTTCTCTCGGTAGTATAGCAAAATCTTAACGACAACGGTAAGCGAGATGTTAAAAAAGATCTGTTTGCCGGTGATGTTAACACTTACAACGGGCTCAAAGTCAGGGCTTGACATGTTAACTGTGAGGTTTCTCATCAACAGTAGAACCTGCGAAATACATATGCAGTTAGTGATGAATACAGAGAGAACAATCATGGGCAATCGCAAATACAGGCAAGTGGCAACAATGAGACTTCTTAAACTGAACCAAGATTGAAAATCCATTGTTGTTTCCCAATGCTAGAACTGCGTGAACTTGTGCAAAAATCAAACTTCCAGAAGAATTTTAAGAATTGCATCATATTTTCCTGGAGAAAACACCAAAATTTCCAGAGTCTAATCGCCAAAGTTACCATTTTCCTGTGGTGCAAGCCCCCAATTAAAAATGAAAACTATCATCACAGAACTAATTTAAGGAACCCATACACAGACCTCCGACTGATTGGGATGGAGCATAACATAGGGGCATACAGCTGGTGGGAGGGATAACGATAAAGCACAACATGTGAGCCCACGTATAGACGTATAGACTAATGATAACCTTCTCCCACCAATGATCTTTTACTGGTAGTTTTGTAACTAGCAACCAGTATTCAGTACGCGGAACTGACTCACAGGAAAAAAGAAACAAAAGCTGATAGTCTCAAGCGGCATGATCTCACATCTTCATTGATAAGAAAAAACTCAAAGAAAAAAGTACTGTCCAGTCATAAGCCTATGCTGTAGATATGCTGTCACACACATGATTTATTAGTCTGAATTCAAGCAAAACTGTAACTCACGGTCTCAAAATTTATAGGATCCATTTCCTTGAGCTTTTTCATGTGGCCTTTGGTTTCTGGATCAAAGACACTCCCAATGAAGTTATAAACTTCAGTAAAATCAGGAATACCTGCAAACAATCGCAGTATAATATCAAACCACAAAACACAACTCTGGGAATGAAACCACAACTATTCAGATGATTACCGTGAAGCACAGGAGCTGGTTTCCCTTGTATTAGAATCTCAGAACCTGATAGTGTTCGGCTTACGCTTCCCATGCCAGATGCAGAAGGGCTACTAACATTTGTTATGCCCTTTGATCCAATATCAGCTGAATCAGTAATGTTACATGCAAAACCCGTGCCTTCAGCTCCACGAAGTGTAGCTAGTTCATCTTGTGTCGAGACAACTCTACTTGAACCGGTATTTATCAGAACAGAAGACTCATCCCATGGAGCAAACCCAGACAGAATGTTACTTGGAGAAGGAAAAGGTGTGGAAACTTGGAGTGGCATTTGAGCTGCAAATTTGAGGTAAGCTCAGGTTGTATGTAATTGTATCTCTCCAACTGAATCAATTACTCTTACTTGTACAACATCCTAACCATTTTTTGATGCCTTTTGAGGATAAGGATGAGCTGCTTTGCGTTTAGGCCGAGGTGGTGGCACATGAGCTAGTGTCCCATTTTTCTGGACCTTCAAAAAGTATTTTTGGGCATGGCTCCTAATCTGCATTAAATCGAGTAAGCATAGGAAGATTAAGTGAGGAACATGCCAAAGTAGATCAAACCAAAATTTGGAGCATCTATTCTCAAACCTGAATCACGGTCTTTGAACCCACAAAGTCTTCGATTTTTTTCCAGTCGCGGTCAAACCTAAAGAACCAAGAAAAAGACCAGAGACCAGTAGTATCAACGTGCTGAAGTCCTGTTGGAGCAAAAGACTATAAAAAAAGCTATTAAGAATAATGTCTTCGTGTTGAGAAGAATACATACACCACAACCATTTAAAAGGGATTGAACAATCAACAAACATTAGAATTAAGACAAGAAAATATATATGTTTTTTACAACAAAAAGCTGGAACATTTGCCGATGTCTGACCAACTATCAATCTTTCACTTGGTTTATACCTGGAGAAAAAATTCAAAATTGTTGGTATTCCTCACGCAAAAGAATAAAAACGTTGGAGGGCATTGTGGTGCTCAATCTTCATGACGTACAATTTCATTAACCGCACGTTATCTCTAACATCAATCACAACTTCCCACCAGAAGTAGAATGTAGAAGTTAAACTCGTCCTGTGAATAAGAACTAAAATTTTCATCTCTCTACATGAGATCCAAACTAAGAGATTAATACTTCAACGCTCGCCCTCAATAATACAAAAACCGTTTAAACATCTTCTTCTGAATGATTTCATCCCACTGAAGAACAAATTAAGACACTCAGCTACACAGAAAACGCCGATGCAACTTGACTAAACTGAAGCTGATAAGTTAGTTCATCCTACTTTGTTTGCCTAAACAAGAAATTTCAACATCAGAGCATTTAGGTCGATGTAATTCAACAAAACAATAAAATCGGTCATAACTAGCTCAAGATTAGAAAACCTCCTCTATCACAAGATACCACAAACAATCACCAAATCGTTGCTCGAAGAGGCTAATGAAGTAGACAACAAATCAATAGAACCAGAGATTTTACAGTTGAAGCGCTTCCAGAAACTTGTCGTGTTCTTCCTCTGTCCAGCTCTCCCTGGACTTGGTGATCGTGTAAGGTTTCCTCACCTTCTTCGTAGAACCTTCCGCCGCGATGGAGGCCGATGACGCCGCGGTAGCCGTGGAATTGACCGCCCGCCGTATTCGTTGACGGCGACGTGCTCATCGGATTAGAGGGACCGTTTTAGAGAGAGAGTGAAGAGAGAGAAACTGCCTAAATCCACATGGCGGGCAAGCGGTTGGTGTAATTATGTGGAGCGGGTTCCTTCGATTCGAGACCATCCAATTTCCCATTTTCTTTTTTGTTTCCTTTATTTGTTGGATTTAAATGTTATTCCCTGTTACCGACCACACATTAACCAGATGCACTCAACTTGTTTATTCCTTTTTTTTCAATAGAAATGTAATCTGACAGTTATTTAAACAATTATTTTTAAAACACACCAATGTATCTTTTAATTAGATTCCATTTCAATAATGAGATGAAATGTTTCTTTAATGGGTGGACTTATGATAAGCTAAGCTGAATTTTTAAAAATTGGGTATCAATTAGAATATCTTAACATATTTTTCTTCTATTTCAAACGGGGTTTTCAAAAAAAAAAAAAAAAAAAAAACATCGGCTCACGTGTACTTTTTTTTTCAAAAGGCTTGTGGTTTTAGGCCGCATCTTTTGCGGGTCGGATTGGGTGGACCTGTGAGTTTTCGGCCCAAATGAATCCACAGCAGCACTCACCTGTACATAATCACACTCAGTGTCATAGGAATGCCAAAGAAGTTTGGGTGATGCTTATCAATTTTCAGACTTTTGCAGGGTAACTGAAAGGAAACAGAGAGTTTTCAATCATTTTGCAAAGATTCACATGCCAGGAAACAGAATTGCAAATACCTTAAGGGTGCATCCAGAGATTCAAAGCCAATCCTGCTGCTGCAGTTTTAGAGGCAAGTACACTTCGGATAAGTACTGGAACCCGAAAGAGCTCAGAGCCTGGATCTCAGCCTTCTGCTTAGTTTTCACCATCAGGTTCAGCTCTTCAACCCAGCCGGGGTTCTTCTTCACGAAATCCTCCTCCAGCAAATCCTTACCAGTCTTGATATCCTGCTCGGTCATCGGCAACCTGCACTGCTCGGGTATATTGTACTTGTCCAAATCACTCGGTCGGATTCCCAGCCACTTAATGTCCGGAGTCGTCAAGTTTGCACTGTCATAGGACATGTTTTTCGACCCACATCCATAAACCGATAAAATCTTCAACCCATAAGGGTCACTATCCACCAGGGCAAGTACCGGCAGCTTCAGCTCCATTTTCATTTTCCTCAGGAACAGCCTTGTGGCTACATCTGGTTGCCCTTTCGCAGTCACAATAATACAAGGAAACCGGTTATAGAATCTATCTTCTGCTAACCTTATATATGCAGCATCTTTTTCAACAAGGAGTATGAACAAAGCATCGCTTTGCATGTCTCCTACTCGATCGATGTTTGGCGGAATGGCTTTCCCTCCCATTCCCATCTTTGTGCAATCTATCATGTCCCCATTGTCGCTGAATATAAGCCTTCCGACCACCACACCCTTCTCAGCCGCAATCACGTTGAGACTGGATCTTGTGCATCCGAGCATACAGGAGACATCGTCTAAGACAGCATCGCTTTGTGTCTGGTCCTGTAACCAATAATGGCGGAAATTTGATTTCCAAACCGATGAGAAATGTTCCATTGGTTCCCAGATTCATTACTTGCTCTCAAGCCAAGAACCAAAGATCAAAACATCCCAATTGACACTTTTGATACGTGGATTCATCTATCAGTGACATTCATTCGGATCATAACAAGCTATACACAAAAAATGACTTCCAGATTCGGAAAACCTTCAACTTGAAACCGAATATCCGAAGAGAAATGTGAAATGAATTTGTGAAACACAAATAACAGTTACCTGGAAAAGCTTGACGTCAGTGTAGAAGAGATCACGCTTGGTGACGTGGATGTTCTTCAGGCAGAGTTGGTGGATAAGGGCGAGGATACGGGCTGTGATAGTGGTTTTCCGTACGGATGACACTGAGGCAAAGGGACGGAGCGTGGATTTGTCTTTTAACACGATCCGGTCAAGTTCTGGTACATACAGCTGGTTCGATGAGGCGCGTGAGGGCACGTTGAAGGAGAACCCCTCGCCGGATAGAATGGATTGGGCGATGTAGAGGACGAGCGACTCGATCTCGGTCTGAACCGATGAGAGAGATAAATCCGTGACTTCGCGGCAAGTCGATGAGAGTGAGAGGTCGGCTAGAGTTAAAGGTTTCGAGGCGGCGGAGGAGGAGGAGGCACCACCGGTGGCGGAGATGTAACATTTGAGAAGTTCAAGTATTTGGGCGTCTGCTTTCAGCTTGTCCTTGAAAGGAAGCTTCGGCTGGTCTTCATCGGCTCGCCGGCGTTTCCTCTTCTCCGCCATAGATCTGATACTGCGACGGTGGCGATTTACGGCGGCTCTGAGAGCATGGAAGATGGCGGGAAAATTCTACACTTACCACGTGCGGTTCTGTAATTAGGGCAAATTTATTTACTTAAGAATATGTTAAAAATTAGGACAGCGTAATCATGTTCATCGGCTCGCCGGCGTTTCCTCTTCTCCGCCATAGATCTGATACTGCGACGGTGGCGATTTACGGCGGCTCTGAGAGCATGGAAGATGGCGGGAAAATTCTACACTTACCACGTGCGGTTCTGTAATTAGGGCAAATTTATTTACTTAAGAATATGTTAAAAATTAGGTCAGCGTAATCATGAAGTCGATATGTCCGAGTGGTTAAGGAGACAGACTTGAAATCTGTTGGGCTTCGCCCGCGCAGGTTCGAACCCTGCTGTCGACGATTAGTTTTATTTTTACGGGCTTTTAATTATTGGGCTTTTTAGGCCCATTTATGGCCTATGTTCTTCAGAAACTTTGCTTTAAGCCCACCGTAGTGACTTAAAATATCTGTTAACGCCGTGACCTACCACATCCTATTGGACGGTCGAGATGAGATAGGCCTTGACGCCCTCGATAACGACGTTCCTTCACCCTCACGACGCCACGTGGCATCAGGAAAGCTCTCAGATCTGGCAGGACACTTCGAACAACCGGTTTTTGATCTCGTCCACCTCAGCGATCTCTGCAACATGCCACGTGGAAATATCTGCATCCGACGTGGCACTTCATGGCCTCTAGTTTCGTCCACGTCGGATTTTTTCTGTCCCAATATCTATCCTCCCGGACAAAGAAAATCGGTGATACCGTTCTCTTCTCCGATCTCCACTTTCCGAGAGACATGATCCCAAAGAAGCAACATTTCACTGTGTTTGTCTTTTTCTGAAGCAGAAAAAGCCTTGAGTTCTGTGTATGTTGCTTTCCTTTTCCACTTTGATTCTGTTCTGATTTCATGTTTCTCTTGCCCCATCCGTTAGCTGCGGTTTTCTGGTCGGTGGTGATTGATGTTGCTGTTGCACGTGATTCTTATCTCTTGGAATTATATTTTATAGGATCAATTTCATGATTAACCCGATATTTTGTTTGGTCTTTTTCGGATATCATTAGTTGAAATTGTCTCATTTCGTGTTTGTAGTGTTTGGTGATTCTGCTGATGATGTGATCGGATTGGTTGTCTGAAAATTAGTGGGGCTTATGATGCTTCTGGTCTTTGTTGTCAAAATTCTGGATTAATGTCTGACTATGGCTGCTGCAGTATTGTCATTGATCGAAATTAGGGTTTCTAAATGGGTTGGGATTTGAATTGGAAGTCCTAGAAATTGGGGAAGTGGTAATTCCATCAGTCGCCGTCTGAATTCCTTACTGTCTTATTGCATTGATTTTTCTTCAGGGCCATAGAATCCTTTGGAGAGGGAAAACCTTTCTATTCTGGGAGAAACCATGTTTATGGTGGCTTGAAATTTTAGAGAGTAGAAACAGTTTACTTTTGGAGTCAATATTTATTGTTAGAAGTGTTGTAATGTTTGAAAGTCCTTGTTGTTTGATCATTTGAACTTAGAGTAGCGGAATTGGTTCAGATGAACGTTGATGGGGACGGGAAGGATAGGCATGGGATGAATCACCAAATGCATGGTGGAAAAACAAGGGAAACCATGTATGATAGGTTTGAGATTCAGGCAGGGAGACAGCATGAAGATGATAAAGTCAACGATGATGCAAGGGATGGGAGTTTGGGGGCTGTGGGTGCCTCAGCTGCAATTCAGATCCCACACACTCAGCATCAGACAGCAGAAACTGTTTGTTGGGAAAGGTTTCTTCATGTGAGATCCATTAGGGTTCTGCTTGTGGAAAATGATGACTCAACTCGTCATGTGGTTACTGCACTGCTCCGGAACTGTAGTTATGAAGGTCAGTTCCAAAGTTTATAAAACCATATTCATGATCCAATGGCAGCAACACTCGAGATTTATTGATGAAGCGAAAGAATTTATTATGCCTTTGACTTAGATGCTTACTTTTTCAGTGTTGCCAAAATTGAGTCTAGTATGTAAAACCATAGTCTAGGCATCAGGGGAAAAAAAAGTTATGATGGGATTGAAATGTTTTATACTGGATATACGTCACAAAGGCTGGGGCGCTTAGTTTGGTTGGGTTTGATTATTATACAGTGAACAAATCTTCACTTCAAGTAACATAGGGTTTTGTCCTTGTAAAGTACCTTATTGCGATATTTCACAGAGACTAATATCTAGTTCATGGGACAATCATGTCTCTCTCTGCTGTCCCTTCTCGTCTGGGGCTAAATAAGCTTACACATGTACTCATTTCGGAACATCACTGTACTCATGTTGGTGGTGCATGTATTGATTCTAAAGTAACAATCACTGATTGGACAAAATCCATTTCCTTGGATGTGGTTTCAATGGCTGATTAAGGACCAACTATGTGCTGGCAGTTGTTGAGGCAGCAAATGGTATACAAGCTTTGAAGATATTAGCAGATATGAACAATCATATTGATATTGTGTTAACGGAGGTAGTCATGCCTTATTTATCTGGTATTGGTCTCTTATGCAAGATTTTGAGCCACAAAACCCGTCGAAACATCCCTGTCATAAGTAAGTTCTTTATCTCTTGCTGTTTTACTGTAAGAAGCCCTTGGGAAAAGATGCTTTTAACTACATTTTCCATGAGATCTGTGTTGCAGTGATGTCATCTCATGACTCGATGGGGGTGGTCTTTAAATGCTTATCGAAAGGTGCTGTTGACTTTCTGGTTAAGCCGATCAGAAAAAATGAGCTTAAGAACCTTTGGCAACATGTTTGGAGAAGATGTCATAGTGTAAGTGCCTTTCTTGCATGAATCCGATGAAAATTCACATGGGGTATAACTCTTTTCCAGATCGAAAGAGGGTTGACAATCCATGTTTTTCACTAAATCAATTCTTGTATGTTTCATGTCCAAGAAATGATAAAGCAGTAATCCGGAAATTTGAATTGGTCTTCCTGAATATTGACACCTCATAAGTATTTCCTCTCATGGTTTTTCTTGTTCATCTTTCCATAGTCCAGCGGCAGCGGGAGTGAAAGCGGAACACAAACTCAAAAGTCTGTGAAATCAAAGAGCGTTGAAAATTCTGGTAATGATTCAGGCAGCAATGATGAGAATGAAAACGGGATCAATGGCTTGAATGTTTGTGATGGAAGCAGTGATGGGAGTGGCATTCAGGTATGTTGTTGTGCCTTGATAATTTTTTTTAACTCCATGGATTCATTCCATAAAATTTGATGATGTAACTTCACGTATATAATCAAAGCTTCATAATTTTCCCGTGTCGTATTTTTCTAAGAATCTAGATTTGTTATGGGTTATCGCTTTTTGGCAGAGCTCTTGGACGAAACAGGCCGTGGAAGTAGACAGCCCAAGGCCGGAATCTCCTCGGGATCGAGCTGATAGCACTTGTGCTCAAGTGATACATTCCAATGCTGAGGGTCCCATTACTCAGTTGGTTGCAGCAGCACATGCAGACAAGGAGCCTCAAAAACAGGATGACAACTTAGGTAAGGAAAATGTCTCGTCTTGGTCTCCTTTTCTATTATATTCTCTTCTATACAAAAAACATGAAAATTTGATCTGGAACATGTACGCTCCTACGGAAGATGTCACAATGCGTATAGACATTGACCCACAACTTGAGCCAAAAGATGAAGCCCTGATCAGAATTGCCGGCAACAAAAGACAGGATAATCAACTTGAAAGGAGCTCTAGTAAATGGAAGATGAAAGTCAGAAAAGGACCGTTGGATCTCAACAGTGAAAGCCCTTTGAGTAAACCAATGCATGGAGATGGAAGCTCGGGTTTCATCGCGAAATCTAGACACCTCCAAGATAATCAGGACCCTGAGGCACCGAATACACATTGCAAAGCTTTAGACACTGAGGAAGGTGCTGGCAACAATTCTGAAGAACTCCTATATGCTGAACATGGTCCAAAGAGGCTTAGAGCAGTTAAAGATGATGAGATAATGGTAAATGATGACAGGAATGTGTTCAGACCTTCCGAAAGTTCAGCCTTCTCAAGGTACTTTGAACCTCTATCATTACTTTGAGGCAGGTCTTGAATCTAGGGTGATGCTCTAAAATGGTGTATCTCATATGTGCCTGATTAAGACATGGAGATATGGAATTGTCTATGCCTCAGATATTCGCAATACCTGCAAGATACTTAAGTATATGGTTGTCAAATTGCACGATGACAGATCTGTGCTCTTCTTTCCTTCCATGTCTCTGTTTCTTTGGCTTGATCAGCTGTTATGTTTCTATGTACAGGTATAATCCATCCTCGAATGCCAATAAACCGTCCAGTGGCAATGCCGGAAGCAACTCTCTTCATGACAATATTCAAGATGTTACCAAAAAGGCTTCAGTATGCGATTGTCATTCAAACTTGAACGATGGCCCCCCAAATCATTACTCCCATGTCGGGAGCAGTAACATCGATATGAGCTCCACGACAGAGAATGCCTTCACAAAGCCAGGAGGGGCTCCAAAGATAAATCCAGCGGTATCTTCATCGGTCAAGCATTCGTCATTAAAGCCACGTGATCATCATGCCCATCTTGTCCACATCAGTCACCGGAAGCTACCCCACTGTGGATCCTCAAATGTTTACAACGAGGCGGTTGAAGGAAATGCTGTGAATTACAGCGTGAATGGAAGTGTCTCAGGTAGTAATCATGGAAGCAACTGCCCGAACGGAAGCACCACTGCTGTGAATGTTGGAGGAGTGAATATGGAATGTGATAACAATGCCGGGGCAAGTGGAAGTGGAAACGGAACAGATGAAACTATGATTTCGCAAAGAGAAGCTGCTCTGACAAAGTTCCGTGAGAAGAGGAAGGAGAGGTGCTTCAGGAAAAAGGTAAGTGGCTTCAACTTAGCTTATGAACAAAAACAAAAAGACACCTCCTTTCTCAACTTTAGATTATGGCTTCTGTTGTTTGCTCTTATGTGTCTTTTTACAAAACCTGAAATCACTATCCGATAATAACAGCTGTATGAACATACAAAAAGCTCTGCATTGTGGTCTGTATTGGTGGGCTAGTATATTTTGATGGAGCTTTGCTCGAAAGATTTCTAAAAAAATGGTGATATGGCTACATTTATGTGGCGGTCGATAGGGGTGGGCACAAATACCCGAAAATCGGGTATCCGTCGGATACTCGTCTCACGGATACCCGATTTTAGGGTACTCGTAATTTTCAAATCCGAATCCAAATCCTTATTTTTCAATACCCGTGAATCCGGATCCAAATCCGGATAATAGAATTTTTAAAACCGGATATCCGCGGGTACCCGCGTATTATGATTATAAATAATTATATCTTATATTTATATAACATTTTTATAAAATACAATTATTTTAGATGAAATAATTTCATATTTTTTTAATATTAATTCAAAAAAATTAAATTTATTATTATTTGTCTCTTATTATCTCTTTTGTCTTATATATTTTATCATAATTCATCAATTTTTATAAATATATCTTCATGTTTTAAAAATTTTATATATGAATATTGTTGTTTTTCTTAAATAAATCCGGATCCGGATATCCGCGAGTACCCGACTATTATTCCGGATACCCGTACCCCGGATACTCGTAAATACCAAATCCCGGATACAAATCTCATAATTAAATATCCGAGCCTCCCGGATCCGAATCCAAATCTCTCGATTTTCCCGGGTATCCGACCCGTGCCCACCCCTAGCGGTCGATGTTAAGATTTACATATGCAGGACTGAAGATCGGGCTACTGAGTCGAAGCCCTACAATTTCCGAACCTTAACACACATTCCAGGTAACTCGAAGAAAGATTCTCCGTTCTAAAAGGAGTACAATTTTGTGTTACTCTTGTATCAGGTACGATACCACAGCCGGAAACAACTCGCTGAACAACGGCCCCGTGTCCGCGGACAGTTTGTTCGCAAATCAGCCGTGGCAGCGAACAACGACGAGGATACAAGCAAAGCTGAAGAAGAAGTTAACTGAAATCAGACAAAACCAGACAGTACATTCATCTTAGAACATGAACAGCTCGCCTTTGCCGGTATCCAGATTTCTCTTGTTTGATCTTTTATCCTTTTTTTGTAACATTACCTGTTCTGGAATTTGATCCTTGTGATACCCTTGGTGAAACCCTACACTATATTTTTATCTTTTTTTTGTCGATTCTTCGTTGTCTAATCTTTGTGGGTTTAGGACAAAGATTGTTCAATTGACTTTTGGGAATGTAAAACTCTGATCTGTTGTTTACTTCAGTTAGTTCCACAATGATCGGAGACATTTGTACGGAGGTTGGATCGAGTTTTTACCGTTTTGTAACAGAATAATTTACCGAATATTTACAAGTATGAGGGAGGGGGTCTTAATATATATATATATATATATATGTCATGAGAAAATGATGTTTTGATCAAATGTTGTTTGATGAGTTATTACAGAACAGATGGAATTCTGTTCCAAAATCTGTAATGTATCTCTATGATTGATAGAATCTCATCTAATCTAATTTTAATGCATTCTGAATCTTTTTTGGTCAACGGCGAAGAATTCTGACTTTCTTTCTTCCCACGAGTGCCAAATCGTGCGGGCAAAATCAGCGATGGAGCCTGGGTTGCCTCTTTTACATTTCAACGTCCTCCTTTTTCCTCCCTCCCTCTCTCTCCCTCCCCCTCGCTCTGTCGCTTTCTAGATCATCGAAGCGATCAAGGCAGAGAGAAAATCGACGAACATCGTCGAGAGAAAAAAGGCAGGAACTTCATGGGTTGGATCCCGTGTTCTGGGAAATCGAGTGGGAAGGGGAAGACAAGGAAGAACGGCGACGGGAATCGGAACAGGAAGCCTTCTGATCGTGGTGTTTCTGCTTCAGGTACGTTTCTTAGTTCGGATAGGAAACAGATGATTTTGCGGTTCTGTGTCTTGTCTGGTTTTGCATGGTTTTCTTATTATTTGTGGGTTCCTTGCCTCCTCTTTACTGGTTCCGTTGATTCCCCTTTCCTTCTGTAGTTAGGGTTTCCATTTTGGGGATTGTTTCAGGTGTTCTGATGTGTTTCTAATAGTTTAACGGTTGAATCTTTAGTTCTCTTAAGCTCTGGTTGATGGTATTTCAGATTATTTCTCTGATATTTGATGGTTTTGTAAGCACTGAGCTTGTTGCCGTAGCCAATTAGATTCGGTTCTATCCAGACTGTTCTGGCAAAACACATGCTGGGTTGTTTGGTCTGCTTGTTGCTGTTGTCTGGTTTCATTTCTGCTCATTGAAACATTGATCATTTTCTCCAATTTCATTTGTTTTACAGAGAAATCTAAGACAAAATCATCATTGGGTGATAAGAATGCATCCAAAAGCAAAGGAACTGATCACATTACAGCAAAGACATTTACGTTCTCCGAGTTGACTACAGCTACTAGAAACTTCAGAAAAGAATGCCTTTTAGGGGAAGGAGGGTTCGGCAGAGTTTACAAAGGATACTTGGAAAATACTAGCCAGGTAAGCTGCTTTCCTCATGGGCAAGTCTCCGTGAAGATTTAAGGAATGGGTGAGTGGCTTGATAGTGATAGCTTTCTTGCTTTCGTTATTCATCTGTAGGTAGTGGCTATCAAGCAACTTGACCATAACGGGTTACAAGGAAATAGGGAGTTTCTCGTTGAGGTTCTGATGTTGAGTCTCCTTCACCACCCAAATCTTGTTAATCTAATTGGATACTGTGCTGATGGAGATCAAAGGCTTCTGGTGTATGAGTACATGCCTCTAGGGTCATTGGAAGATCATTTATACGGTATACTTTTTAATTAATACCGCAAGTTAAGCCTTTTTGGTTCATAGCCTTTTCCCTGTATAATACTGTGAATATGGAAGAAATGTTATTGTGTGTAAGACCTGATAGTTTTATATTTACAATGCGTCTATAAAGAAGGTACTTAGCTATAGATTATCTTATCGGCTTCAAACCTCTCCACGAGTAGTGTTACTAGCTTGAGAGAAATTCACTTAATTCTATCTAACATAAACCCAATGATCCTCAATCACCTTTCTAGTTGATTCCATATGTTGAAAATGATTCCCAACTTGATTCTTTTCAGATATTTCACCTGGTAAGCAGCCGCTTGATTGGAACACTAGAATGAGAATAGCAGCAGGAGCTGCAAAGGGGTTGGAGTATTTGCACGACAAGACTGTCCCTCCGGTGATTTATCGGGATTTAAAATGCTCCAACATTTTGCTTGGAGATGGGTTCCATCCAAAGCTATCTGACTTCGGATTGGCCAAAATCGGCCCTGTGGGTGACAAGTCCCATGTCTCGACCAGAGTGATGGGTACCTATGGATACTGTGCTCCCGAGTATGCAATGACAGGTCAACTAACCCTCAAGTCAGATGTTTACAGCTTCGGAGTCGTCCTTTTGGAGACCATAACGGGCAGGAAAGCCATCGACAATTCAAGGCCTGCTGGAGAACAAAATCTGGTAGCATGGGTGAGAATCAGGGAATGAAACAACCTTCTTGAAAAGTGAACATATTCCCAAAACGATTCTTGGTTATATCGTGCTGGAACTGTCATTTTTTCAGGCAAGGCCTCTGTTTAAAGACCGGAGAAAATTCTCGCAGATAGCTGATCCGATGCTTCAAGGCCAATACCCTCCAAGAGGATTGTACCAAGCACTGGCAGTTGCTGCCATGTGCGTGCAAGAGCAGCCGAATCTCAGACCAGTCATTGCTGATGTTGTGACCGCCCTTTCGTACCTCTCATCCCAAAAGTACGATCCCGAGGCACAGCAAGTCCAGAGTTCCCTTTTCGCCCCCGGGACTCCTCCTAGGACAAAGCAGGACAGAGACAGGATGATCTAGAAAAAACTGCAGAAGACACCTACAAGGTTAATGCTGGTAAATTATTTGCTGATTCCCCATAGAGGGTCTTTTTCAAATAATTTTCAGAAGGGGATATTGTTTTTCCGAGCTTGTATAGATAGACGTATTCACAAAGAGATACACTTAGAAATATAGCACTTTCTGTATAGGCTTTGTAAACTGTACAATGATGTTACATGTTCCACTGCTTTGGTAAGGTGACCGACATTACCTTTGAGTATTTCACTATTTTGTTAAAAGAAAGATTTGCCGTTTGGTTTACTTCGGGTAAGATTTTGGTTAAAAACCGGTATTTTTGGTTACCTTCAATTGGCCAGAGGGTGGTATATAAAGACATTACCATTTACCGCAATACATGCCGAGCCCTTTTATTAATTGACAGTAAAATACAAACCAAACGTTTTACTTACTGGTATAGAAATTATTACAGTTTTACTGACATTTTTGAAGTCTCCGAAAGAACATGTAGCAAGATGCTGAAAACAGTAGTCTCGACGTTTTTAAAAGTCTTCATACGCTCCATTCATCAACAGCCTCTACTTACCAACAGTTGGCTCGGTCCGACGCATTTTATACCTTATTACTGCAATGAAAAACCGGAGCCCAGTTCAGAAACTTCAAGATTCTTGATGTTTTCACAGAGAAATGTGAAATAGAAGCATATGGTTTGGTATTGCAGGTTAATATTTTCAAAGAGGCAGTGATGAATTTTTCTCTTTTTTACCATGAATCTCTTCTTGTAATACTCCATAAGCACCTTGGGATCAATTTTCGTTTGGGCATAGGTATCCATTTTGTTCATTTCCTGCACCAAAGTTACCAATCACTTCAACATCTTCAGCGGAAGCCAACGAAAACTACGAACATGGCATGTGTAAGAGTGTGAAGATATATAATATATACATACTTCTATCCATGATGCGAGTTTTGGGCGTCCTTCCGTAATGTCGTACTTGAATACTTCACTGAGGAAGATTTGGAATCTTTCGATGAACGGGATGTAGGCAATGTCAACCTGAATATTGAAGGGTCCAAGCCATTTGGAACATCGGTTTTCATGGTTGATTGAAATGATCTACAAAGAAAAAAGAAAAGAAAAGGAAGGATCTTGAAAAAGGACAGGCTTACCAAGCTAAGTTGGCCAAGGAAGAACGGCCCGTCACTAAACCTATGCAGAGCATTTTCCAGATAATCTAATACCGGCGCTGAATCAGACATGTAAATTTCCTGTCAGAAAGTTTTTCCTCATATCAAAAAAGTTTCTGAGGTAGAAAACACCGATTCTCACCCGTTTCTTTAGCCGGGTCTCCTTTGAACGAACTGTATATCGTATTATTGAACATATCGGTGTATTTCAACAACTCTTCTCCAAACTCTCTTTTAGCAGGATCCTAGAAAGTTTACAAAAATAATATTAGTACAATACAATGGCAAGACATATGATTAGTAATAGAGAATAAAGAAAGAAAATCAGCAATGGCCTTTTACCTCAGGGTAAAGGGAAGGCCCTTCGAAATTGCTATCGAGATATTTGATCAAGTCAAGACTCTCCCCAATGACTTTTCCATTATGCTCAAGCGCTGGCACCTGCAAATATGTTGTTTGAAAGATGGTTAGAAACTAAGGAGTGTCCATTGAGCAATGTATTGTAGCATTTGTCATGGAAGAAGGATTAACCAATTGTATGGGTATCTATAACCAATTGGAAATCATATTATCTATCATTATACAGCTACCGATCCACCGCGGGAATAGTCATACTAGTGGACAGCTCTATGTTGAAATGAATGTACTAACTGATGAAAAATTTTCTTGTAATGCTCAAAAGATAAAACCTACCTTGTTTTCGGGATAGACTTTCTCCTTGTACCAAGCAGGCCTGTTCCCAAGGTCTATAGGAACCAACTTTATCTTATCTTGCATACCCTGCAACCCACCGGAGAATAGAGAGAGAGAGAGAGAGATCAATCTTGCTTTCATTCTTTCTCTATGGTAAATATTTTGCAATGTTAAAGAACCTCATGGTGTCCAAAGACTGACTCTATCTACAAAACCCCTCCTACCTAGCTTTCCATCAATGGAAACACCCATTCTGTAAGACAAGACGAGCTTATTGGAACATTTCAGCTCTTGGCTTGCCCGAGCAAACCCTGAAACTGCCTAGCTCAGCTCAAGCAGCCAGACCTATGAGGGATTTGCTCCAATCCACTGGACCTCACACCATTCACACACGCATGTGTAGGTATATATATATACACATGCATATACTGAAAAAAACCCACACATCTTAATGTAACTAAGCATAGAGCCACCACATTCAATAACACAAACTCTTTCACGGTTGCTACCAGGTGTGGCTTAGAGAACAGGTAAGGACTAATCTGAGGGCAAATTCTTTTCACTTAGTCATGATGAATCCCAAAGATGCAAAAGAAAAGCAATACCTTGAGATTTCTGGTGATCCAAACACGCTGGGCGTATGGGCATATGTAGCTTGTGTACAATCTAAACAGGAAAAATCAAGTCAGAAAAACCACACAGATATCAAAGGTAACAAGTTCAAGAACACGTGTTTGGAAGATCGAACAAAGCAGAAATATTAGGATGAACAGAACAGAGGAAGAACCTCGTCGTTCCGTCGAACAGAGCGGGAGGCTCGGACGAAGCATTGAGCGGCGCTGGGAGATCCTCTACGACACTGTCCGAGAAAATCAGAGTAAAGGACTGTTCAGTTACCAAAAAAAAAAGATTAAGCGAAAGTTCGGACAAGGCGATTAGCGACGTAGAAATTTGCAAACTTGTGAGGAAAAAAATTGAATTGACCGAAACCCAGAAGCCAAAACGTGAACAGGAAGTGTAAAAAAAAATTCAAGATAGTCCTTTAGAAACCGTGAATTCGAAGGAAGAAGCTTCTTGAGAGTACAAAAACCAGAGTTAAGCGAAACCCAGATGCCAAAAAGCTGGAAAAAGTTTCCGAATTTCGGGATAAAAGCGCGAAACGGGAAAGGCCCAGAAGCTAGATGGACATGAAAACAATGAAAGAAGAATTCTGCAATAACAAACATGGAGTCTGGATATCCTTACGGAGGGGAAGCCATTGATGATCAGCAAGCGTTGATGCTCTCTCTCTCTTTTCTCCGGAGGGTTCTTTTAAATAATAAATAAAGATGGATTCTTTAAAACAATTTCCTCTTAGCCTTTTGGCCAAAAAAATGATGGAGTCTTGCAAACTTTGTCGAGAAAATGCTATTCTTTCTTGCATGCCTGATAAAATAAGGTAATATTATTTAAAAATAATAATTTTTCTATATTCACACGTTTTTTTTTTACTTTTAATCTATATTAAATAAGATTAGGAAATGTGTTATTTCTTTTTTCTGTGAAAGTTTTTTAATTTCCAGAAAATCGAAGAGAAAAGTTAACGATGTATAAAAACTTCAACAATTTTTTTGGTGCCTCCTAAGTATAAATTTTTCATCTTTAGTGGCTGTCGACGGTCGTTATCGACATTTATATGGACATTAATTACACAAATAAGAAACGTACCCAACCATTTTATTAATTAGATGATAAATCAAACGTTATTATTGGTAAGTAAATTATTTCATTAAATGCCCGAAAACTCAACGCTTATTACAAGTTTACCCCCCAAGAAACTTGAAGCAGAACAGAACACTAACGTTGTTGACTTGATTCACCGTCTTCAATCTTCACCACAATCTTTTCATATTGTGCTGCGACTCACTGCAAATGAAAACCGGAGTTACTTCGGTTTGGTACAGATAATTAACCGGAAATTAATCCGGTATAGCAATTAACCGGACAAACCAAAAGATTTCAGAAGCATGCTTGTATGTAATTCTTAGCTTCTTCATGTTTAGAATAAGAACTAGGAATTTACCATGAACCTCTTCTTGAAAATCTCCACAATCACATTGCTGCTCATCTTCGTCTGGGTATATGCATCTTTCTTGTTCATCTCCTGCTCAAATTTTCCATCATTTCAATGTTCAAATCCCTCCAACCTCGAATCTTTCCCGAGTTTGAATCCGAGGAAAGCAAAAGGAACTCATACCTGAATCCACGTTTCCAGCGTTGGGCGTCCTGCCGTGATATCGTACTTGAATACCTCATCGAGGAAGACTTTGAATCTTTCGATGAACGGGATATAGGCGATGTCAACCTGAACATTGAAGGGTCCGAGCCATTTGAAGCACCCGTTTTCTCGGGAAAACAGAAGCAAAAGAAGGATCTTGAAAGAGAGGAAACGCTTTTACCAAGCTAAGCTGGCCAAGGAAGAACGGGCCCTCGTCGAACTTATGCAGAGAATTTTCCAGATAATCAAACACCGTCGCTGCAGCAGACACGGAAATCTCCGTCAGATATTTCAACGGCACGGCATTTTTTCGAGCAGAAAGTAACGAATCTTTACCAGTTTCTTTAGCCGGGTCTCCTTTGAAAGAACCATACACAGTTTTGTTGAGCGTATCGGTGTATTTCAGCAACTCTTCTCCAAATTCTCTCTTAGCGCGATCCTATACAGTTTCCATCAAGTATATTATTACATATAACAGCAGGACATGAATAGCAATAGTGATTGTAACTGTAAGGCATGGAAAATCTGAAAATCTTTACCTCGGGGTAAAGGGAAGGCCCTTCGAAATTGATATCGAGATATTTGATCAAGTCAAGACTCTCCCCCATGACTTTGCCGTCGTGCTCAAGAGCTGGCACCTGCAAAAATAACAATCAGAGAAACCCCTCCTCCTATGAACAGTTTTCGTGTTTGAAAGACAAGAAGAATACAATATCAACCCACTGGAACATTTTCATAACACTAGTGAGCAGCTCAATGTCGAAATGAATATACGAAATAACGACAACCCTTGTTTGTGTAATGCTCAAAAGATTAAAAAGATGACCTTGTTCTCAGGATAGACTTTCTCCTTGTACCAAACAGGCCTGTTCCCAAGATCAATGGCAACCAGTTTGATCTTGTCTTGAAGACCCTGCAACCCCCAGAGAGAAACAGAAATCAATCTCGGTTTTCTTTCAGAGACTTAAAGTATAAACATATAGATAGATGATGACTTCTTTTGTACTAGTTGAGATTCTGAGAATACCAGTCTTATCGCAAAGAAAGACTGTGTAGCTTTCTCTCTACAAATACATACATATATAACACATATATATGTGTACAGACAGACACATAGTATATGCATGTATCTAAAGCATAGCACCACCATTTCAGTACACAGACCTTACAAGGGTGTCTGAATTAGAGAACGGGTAATAGGAAGATCCAACATAAAATGGGGAATCCAGGAGACAGAAGAAAAGCAATACCTTGACGTTTCTGGTGATCCAAACACGCTGTGCAAACGGGCATGTGTAGCTTATGTACAATCTTTGATTGTTTGAACATGGAGACAAGCGAGTCAATATCAGATAAATCATCCAATAATCAACATAACGATTCAAAGAACAATTGTTTTGGAGGATTAAGTAAAGAACTATTAGGATGAACGAATCGAAACCTCGTTGTTCCGTCGAACAGAGCGGGAGGTTCGGCCGTAGCATCGAGTGGAGCTGGACGATCCTCTACGACGCTGTCTCGAGACAACCAGACGAAACAAGTTTAATTAACGTGAAGGCTGTGAGGAATTCCACGTTATATATCGATCAGCGATGCGAAAAAATTACAAACTTGAGAGTGATAAAAATGGATGGACGAAAACCCAGAAGCGAAACAGAAATCAAATGGTGAAAAGTTCAAGAACTGCGTCTAGACTTCTTGAATTCCAAGGAAGGAACTTCATGAGAAATAATGCAAAAATCATACTTAAGTGAAACCCAGAAGCCAGAAAGTGATAAAACTAGGTAAAAAAAGTTCCGAATTTCAGGATAAAGACACGAAATGAGGAAAACCCAGAAGCTAAATGGCCATGAACGAAGCGAAAAACCACCAGGAAAGGAAATTCTGGGAGCAAAGATGGAATCTGAAGATCCTTGCGCAGAGGCCAGAAAGTGGGAAAACAACATAAAAATTCATGATTTCGTGATACAGACACAAAATGGTGAAAACCCAGAAGCTAAAAGGCCATGAACAAAGCCAAAAAGCACGAAGCGATAAATTTTCTGGGAAAGAAGAACGTGAAAATCCTTACGCAGGAGAAGCCATGGATGAACACCGAGTAAATCGTACTACTCCCTCTGAAGAGAAGATGGAATTTCGCTATTACGTTCGTATAACGCATATATATATATATATATAGAAAAGAAGCAGCGGAGGAGCACATATGCAGATCGGTGAGATCAACGGTGGCACAATATACACGTCAGCATTCGTGATCTTGAATTTGTTTTAATTGGAAAAAGCCGAACATACTTTTTTTCCTTTTTGAATAATAGGTTTTCAAAGGTTGGACTCCGGACTTGTTCCCGTCTCAATACATGACCCAAGTCTTTCTTGGAAATTTTTTATTTCCAAAACGGAATTAAAAAAAATCAAACTACGTGGGTGTGTGTGTATATATATGCATATTTATTTTATAATTATTTATTTATTTTTTCGTAGGCGGAGTCAAATTTGAAAAGTTTGTGATTTTTATTTCATTTAAAAAAAAATACACCGTTTGACCGAAGCGATCATTACATATTGGATTTTAGCGAAATACAATATAATTATTTGACAATTTACCAATTATAATATAATATTTTCCCAAGGACCAAACTACCAACGGTAAAAAGCACAGAACAGAACAGAACTCAAAGGCTGTACATTTAACTAAGGGGAAACACGAGAGTTTGAGTTGAAGCATTAGCCCAAAATCTATAAATAGAATAGAAATTAAAAAAAAGAAAAAGAAAGAACAGTTGAGAGATTCATTGGCAAGTGAGATGTAAACAACATGTCAGTAAAAAGGACATAAGATCCGGTGATCTCGGAGAGTAAATGTTCATTAGTACCATTGCCGTCTGTGTTCTGTTTCAGCTGTCGGATTTGTTTGTTAAGCTCAACAATACTCCAGCGCTGAGAGAGAGAGCCACAACTCCAAGTGAAGCCTCTGTTGATATGTGAAAGCCTGCAATGAAGAAACCCCTTCAGATCTTTTTTTTTTTTTTTTGAGTAATAGTTGTTGGGAGTATGGATGGTAGGGGGATAATAAATTGGGTAAGTCAAGAAGAGAGATTTGCACCAAAGAAATCCAGTATCATCTTGCACCCGATGAAGCCGAGAACAATGGCTATTGATGGCTGGTCAAAACAAATGGCAAAGAAACGAAAAGAGAAAGCCGGTTAATACGCATCTCACTAGCCCAAGGGTCAGAGAACAACAGACACATCATAATCACAAAGATTCGGGTTTCTTTTGTTGAAATCTGAGTGCCAGAATGAGCATTACTGTGATTAATATGGATAGGGTCGGATATAAATGAAGTCGTGAATGCATACAAATCTCGAATGAGGTTAAACACCTATGAGGGAGACGTCAATGAAATTTGGTAATGGCTACCACAAGACTATTCATGATTTAACCCACATAGGATAAGGAGCAGTCTTATGCTTTTGATGCCTAGTTTTGTTCGGAGAATGGTAAACTTGCACAATGTAAGCTCAGTGAAACATAAAAATGAGTGAGCAATGTACCTGCAAGTATTCCAACTCTTCCATTCCTTCAGAAATCAGTGTATAAAGAGATCGTAGTCCTGTAGGAAATGCATAACAAGTATGAGGGAAAGAAAACGAAACCAAAATCTAAATATCTCTCTGAATTGGAACTCGGCCAAAGGGATTAAGCATAATTAACAAGTACCTAAGATGGCAAAGATATTAGAGCTGAAAACAATAAAAGGATCCCTTGTGACACCGAAAACCGCCGGTATAGAATCAACCTAAGGAAATGACAAGGCCAAAAATCGGTATTTTGGATCACAATTAACCACTAGAAGAACGGATATATATGATGCCTATTCACAAAGGCTTGATGAAACATACAGCAAATGCTATGTCACTGAGCTCGATAACAGCAACCGTGAGTAGCAATGGTGTAGCCTGCCCAAAATGTTTTGAACCTCTTAGCAGTTAGAACCCATTCAAACGGCTCGAGAGAGTAAGACTGCTACTCCATGATATGAATATTTCCATTGTATAGTTTAAAGGCAACATGATAATTAGCGAATGCTGTGTTCAAAACATCGATAAAATTATGTCATATACTTACTTTCCAAATGCCACCCTGCTTTGTGAAAAATCGATCTCCATCATAACTAGCTGCCACATTAAGAGACAAAATAAAGGAGGAAAACACATCAGCTCAAGCAGCACAGCAGTATTAGTACAATTGTTTACACTCATATAAGATGATGGGCAACTCCCGGGGACAGAAAGAACTAGAGGAACATTACATGTGACGGGAATAAATCTTCGGCATGTCTTCACGATGAAATTGTCTGATAGGTCTGTATCATCTTCCTCACTCCCAAACAGCTGCAATGAAACAGTGGGCACAGAAAAACTAAACTATGAAGCATTTACCCAACATACTGGAAGCTCAACGGAAGTAGATACACGATACATACAAATGCTCAGAGGAAGTAGACAAGTATTATGCACCTTGAACGATGAATACAAAAGAATTACAGCAAGTAGTAGGTTGACTGCCTCAAATCTCTAAAAGGACAGTAGAAAGAAGTTAGAGAGGGACGAGAAACTGCATGAGGAGATGAAATGAAATATATAACCTAGTAATCCACCAGCAAACATTCTTCTCCAAGCAAGAGAGTTACCTGAAGAGTAGCTGTTCCTAGTAATATCAGTGACAATCGGAAGATGACTGCACCAGAAATACCGTAGGAAAGTACCCGATTCTATAGATCCAGCATAACAAATTACTCGTTATAACCAAGTGAAAGATTCGCCTAAGGTAAAACCAGATGGAAAAATTCAGAAGAAGAACCACAGATGCCAGATACAGTCAAAAGCATCTCTGTAAAGATAGTCCTGCACCTGATACATGAGGGGCACTTTGAAGTACTTGAAAATAAGAACAAAAACAAACAGGTTGTCCACAGACAAGCTTTGCTCCAATAAATACCTGCAAGAATGGTGTAAGAATTTAGGACTGGAAATGTCTTCTACATCATACGGGATATATTGTTATCGGATTCTAAAACAAAAAGAAGCATTTCAGCTCTAGCCCTACACACCCTGCGAAGAACTCGGATGCCTTGCCAAGACCATCCTTCAAACCTACCCCAATTCCAAATACCACAGCAGCACTCACCTGTACATAATCACACTCAGTGTCATTTAACATAGTAAAAGAAAGAAAAACAAACGCAGGATGAAAGCCAGCAGCAACAAATAGAGATACTAACACATAAAGCAACGGTCTTAAAGGATGTTTTGTATGTCTCTTCTATTTGAGAATCTCCACCTCGGCTGTCTAATGATGGGGAAGAGTGAGATGTATTCGCACTATCAGCCTCTGTACGAGGCAGAAGACCGGTCCTCTCGTTCTCTGTACTAGCATGCCACAAGCAAATCATTGTTACCAAAGAAATCAAAATTTACAATGCATTATTTGCCAACCAGACAAAGCCTTTCTCTTTCTTTTCCAAGAACTAAAAGGATTCATTTTTCACTCCAGATTGTAAGGATTCCATTTCTTGCAGTAACATAAAAGAGCACCTGAACCAAAGACCCAAAAACAAAATCTTTCCGGCAATTAAAATGCTCGAGAGCTGAAAACAACTAATCCCCAGATCGAAACACAGATCTATGGCTGTAACCCTTTCATCGAAAATACCATTGAACCATGAAGAATACTCCACACTAAGCGAAATAGAACAAGAATTTCGGAGAAGAAGCATTCACCTGAAGAAGAAACATCATCTTCCTGCTCAGTCTCTCTGGAACACGCAATCGGAGGAACATGACCGAGACGACGATTCCCAGCTGCAAAACTCACAACCCAAAAGCACATCAACACGACCCAGATCGAAAACTTCCGCGCATTTACGTACACTATCACACCTACAAACGAACACACTGCGTATATAGAAAGAGGACGAGACCTGAAAAGCGTCTAGCATTGACAAGGAGAGAGAAACGAGACTGGGTCCAAACATGAGCCTGGAACGGCGGCGGAATCACCGGAATCCTCACCAAGACCCGATCCGGTTTCGCGGGAGCGAGAATTCCGTTGTGGATAACTGAAGCGAAGCTCATAGCGTCCGTTCTGCCCCAAAAACGCGTGTGGCAGGAGATGATCACTCTCCACGCTCGGTGGTGGGGATATCGCAAAATTGGCTTTAAATGATACATGCGACTGCCCTTTATATATAAAAAAAAAACTCCAAAACCCAGTTAAAAAAAAAAAAAAAAAAAAAATAGGTGGCAGGCAGAACCCTAAATTTGTGTTTTGTGAAGAAAATGCGAAAAGGAGAATAACAGTTACAAGTCAAAAAATTTAAACCGAAAAAAAAAATCGCTTTCTTTCTTGTTTACCTGAGATTTTTTGGCGATTCACCGTTCAATCGTTTCGTTTTTCTGTTTGTAAAATCGTCTATCGTCTTCGTTGCCTTCAATTCCTGTTTGTAAAGATCTCCGCCTAGGGTTTTTACTGGGGCGGGCTTTTCGACAAATGATTCGGGTTTAGGACGGAAATGGATCGGTTCGGTTTTTTCGGTTTTGTAAAAATATATATCAATCAGTTTTTATATTATATTCGGTTCGGTTCGGTTTCGGAATCGGTTCGGTTCGGTTCCGAATTTTATTAAAAAAATATAGATTTTCTTTAAAAATATTCGGTTTTTCGAGACTTTTTAAAGTTCGGTTCGGTTCCGGAAGAATTATGTTCTCTAAAAATAATATCGTTCGGAAATTGATGATGGTTTTAGATCCGAAAAAATACCATTTTTTCGGTTCGGTTTGATCCAGTTCTTCAGAACCGGACTGAAACGATCATCCCTAGTTTTTACTATAAATCACCGAGAAAATGAAAGGTCATATATATATCATTAAACAGTAAAGAGATACAAAAACGAGTCATAGTATCATATGGAAGTCGAGTTACAATCATACGATCATATTTATCAAATTAGTCAGATTAACTAATATGATCAGTTTAACTAATATAAATGATGATAATGCTGATTTAACTGATTCAAGTCTATATAATATGGTGTATTATTTATATATATACTAGTGGGAGAATCGCGCGATGCGCGGGTTATTATATCGATTATTATTATTAAGTATATTGATATAAATATTGTAAAAATAATACATCTTAATAAAATTATAAATAAATTTATTTGAATTTAATGAAAATGTTATATATATATATATATATTCTTTGACTTGCGCGGACATGGTTGGTTATTTTCTCTCGGCCAAAATATAACTTCTCTTACCCCTCTAAACCTAAGTTTATAATAGACTCGACGAAAGGTATTTCTCATCCAGTAGAGGAGAGGCAATGGCAATGATATTATTACTCGATTTGCTTTTTTTATACCAACGTATTTCTCATAACGTTATTTATAAATATATCTCCATACATTTTATTATGGGGAAATCCCAAAAAAAATTCAACTTTTCAGTTTTGATAAAAAAACACTGAACTTTATTTTTTATCAAATAAACATTAAACTTTTTAAACGAATCTAAAAAAACACCGAACTTTTTAAGTGATCCAAAAAATATATGAAATTTTCTCCGATTGTCAAAAAAATACAGAACTTTTTTAGTGATCCAAAGAAATACATTAACTTTTTTCGATTTTCAAAAAAACTAAGAAAAATAAATTGACGTGTTTGCATCTCATTGTGCCACGTCAGTCATTTTGTTTTTTTTTTTACAATCGTTGAAGATTAAGTGTTTATTTTGTCAAACTTAAAAAAATTAATGTTTATTTGATAAAATAGAAAATTCAGTATTCTTTTGGTCAAAATTTGAAAGTTTAGTGTTTTTTTGGGATTTTCTCTTTTATTATTTATTAAAAACACTGAGATAGATAAAATTTTCTATAAAAACCATGAATTTACAAAATTTTGATTATGTTCTTCGCCATCAACATCATCCACCGATTATGTTCCTCTGATTCCAGAGTCCATCGACTTCAACTATGTCGTCTCCTCCTCTGGCTCCACCGGACTCCAAACCTCTTCTCTTACCACCTCTCTCAAGCCCACCACATCAACATGGTACCTCACCTCCAACTGATCATCCGCCTATAGTCTCTCGCCATCACCGGACTCGACCAAGTCCCCTTCTCCTCCTCCTCTAGGGGCAGACCCTGCAATGGAGGCTTTAAAATCGAAGTCAAAATAAAAACCATTTGTTTCTAAGATTGAAAATTGGAAAACGAATTGTAACAAAAATTTCAAATAAAACTTATTTTTTATTAATATCATGTACAAATCACAACAACAATCATACACCGGAAACAACTTCGAGAGCCAAAAGGATGGAGAATTTTCAGTTCGACATAATATCCTAATTATTTTTTACAAAAGAAATATAATAGATTATGTAGAAATTTGCGGAATGATATTTTTATTGATAATCAAAATAACATATAAATAGATGAGAGTCTTACATTTGAATAAGTAAAGTACACATAATAATAAATATTCCTAAATATATATTTTCCGGATTTGATAAGATCTCCATTATACGATATATCTCGTAATATTCTTCAAGATCCGGTATATCTCAACATCCCCCTTCAAGTTGGAGCGTGGAAGATCATGAAACGCCCAACTTGCTGAAAAGATGATCAAACGCATGCCGCTTAAACCACATCACCTTGCGAACTTGTGTCAATCATAACTAAAAAAAAATCAAACAAATGACTGCACTACAACTTTGGCACCACGCACAAAAGTTTGATGATAACAAAAAAAAGGACGACAATCGCGGTGCAGAAAGAAGTCTCGGGAATAACTCTGATTCATCCGAGATTGAAAGACAACTACGCGAAAACGTTTAATGACAACAAAGTTTTTGGCAAGAATAAGATGATTGGCGGCTATACAAATAATCTTTAGAAACATGTGAGATTATGAGAGAAAATAAAAAAAAACAAAAATAAAATGACTCTCTTATTCTTAATATAAAAAAACTCGAAATGATATTACTACTGGATCAGTATATCATCATCTTCATCTTCACTCTCATTATCGATCATCATTTTTATAAAAAGAACAACAAATTAGAAAAAACCAGAAGCACTGATACCATGTAGAAATTTACGGAATGATATTTTTATTGATAATCAAAATAACATATAAATAGATGAGAGTCTTACATTTGAATAAGTAAAGTATACATAATAATAAATATTCCTAAATATATATTTTCCGGATTTGATAAGATCTCCATTATACGATATATCTCGTAATATTCTTCAAGATCCGGTATATCTCAACAGATTATGTCTGATCATTTTGATCATGCACAACATCCAGGTAGATACGTTGTCATAGTGTTCATTTCTTTTGTTAAACGGCTCTAATCTTGAAGATATTGAGATTATCAGTCGCATTCACTAATTTTGAATAACAATTAATCTGATATTTTTAAATTAAATAATTGAAAAACAGTGTATCCATTATATTTACGTTATTTTATAAGTATTATCTAAGTTTGTAATATCTTAATTTGTTTATTTTTTTTGTTTGTATAGAGTTTAAAAAATCGTCGGGACAAGATGACTCGGGACAAGTTGATTTGTGTGTCATCTAGAATGAAGCTCGTCAAGGTGGTTGTTTTTTATATTCATTCTAGTTTTAAATTGTGTTTATTGAATGATCTTTCATCATTGTCTCAATCGAAAATCTTAATTATTATTATTATATATAATTATTCATAAAAGATAAAAAAAATAGATTATAAAATACATACATACATTCATATATATATATATGGACTAAATATTACTAAAACGTTATATTTTTCATCAGCACGATATTAAATAATAATTTTCCATGAGATATTTCACTTGTTCGTTTGATACATTGTTTGGTGATTTTTTTTTCAATTCTTGTTCATGACTTGAGCTCTCTTCTTTAATTCACTTGAGAATAGTTTGTAAAAAAATCTAAGTTTTGGACCAAAGTCAGATAAATAATCTCAAAATCCACATCTGTTCTTTTTTCCAGATAAAGAATCTCTGCCTCCACTGATGTAACGACCCAAGGTCGCTACGGAATGATAGAGCTATCCCCACATACCAACACGTGACCTTTTAGCGTGTTTTGTCTTCACATGCACACATCCATGAAAGTACTTCTCAGGAGGTCACCCATCCTAAGACTACTCTAAGACCAGCACGATTAATTTTGGGGTTTTCTCGAGATGGGTAACCGAAAAGGTTGATGCATCTTGTTGCTGTGAGTAACTCAATTAATTCCTTTAAGTTATCTTAGATTATGTCGTCTCATACATACACAACCCTCGGATCCCTCTCATTCAGGTGCGTCCGATTCATCCCTATACTTAGGGGTGGGCATTCGGGTCGGGTTAATCGGGTTCGGGTAAAACCGACCCGGTTAATCGGGTTTCGGATCGGTTCGGGTTTTGACAAAATATCCGATCGGTTAATATAATCTTATAACCGATCGGATCGGTTCGGTTCGGGTAAATAACCGATCGGTTTCGGTTATCCAATTAAACCGAATTAAAAAAAAATAGGTTAATTAGGGTTTGGTTTAATCCACATCGAGTAATCTCCTCCGAGTCTTCTCCTCTCTGCCTCTGCTCTGCCATTGACGACTGAGTCCTCTCCTCCTGTTCGTCGCGCCGCTTCAGCCGTCCCCTCCGGCCGAAGCCAAGGTCTGCGTCGACTGAAGCAAACCTCTGCTTCGTTCCCGTTCGCCGCTTCAGCCCTCCCCTCCGGCCGAAGCCAAGGTCTGCGTCGACTGAAGCAAACCTCTGCTTCTTTCCCGTTCGCCGCTTCAGCCGTCCCCTCCGGTCTCTTCTCTCTCTAACTATCTGAAATCGCTCGTCTCTCTCTCTGCATCTGTCGTCGTCGGTTTCCTCTCTCTCTCTCAGTGTCTTATGTTCTGTTCTTTGCAGGTAGCGAAGCTCTCTCCCTGATTCTTCCGTAACAGAGGTCGAAACTCGAAAGCTAGAGAGGTACGATGTGTGTGTGTGTATATTCGTGTATGTGTGTGTGTGTATTCGTGTATGTATACCAGCGGCGAGAGATTATGGGCTCGGTTGATGGCGTATCGGTGTATGTGTGTGTGTATCCGTGTATATGTGTGTATTCTTGTATGTGTGTGTGTGCATTCGTGTATGTATGTGTGTGTATTCGTGTGTGTGTGTATTCCTGTATTGTGTGTATCCGTGTATGTGTGTGTGTATCCGTGTGTGTGTGTGTATTCTTGTATGTGTGTGTGTGCATTCGTGTATGTATGTGCGTGTATTCGTGTATGTGCGTGTATTCGTGAATTTTGATTGGTAACCCAGCTGAAGTCCCTCTCTTCTGATCTTAATAAACGATCGAGTCCATTTATGTATGTGTGTGTATTCGTGTGTGTGTGTGTGTGTATTCTATGTGTGTGTGTATTTGTGTATGTATACAAGCC